GCACAGGGCACTCCAAGCTCAGGGGGCAGGGGTTGAGGACAAGGACGCTGCACAGACCATCTGTCGGGGCTCGATCTGCTTGGTGGCCTAACTGTGATGGAGGACATCCGTTGTCTCTATGTAGTAACCCAAGAGCACAGAACGACACGCCAAGAAAGGGACATGCACTCTATGTAAGAGAGGGCCCGCAGTCACGATGGCAGGAGTGGGTCACATGTCTCCAGGCTGCTCCCCAGAGGGGCCTTAAGAAGGATGCCGTGGCACAGCGTCTGGAAGCCCATCCACACTGGCACTCAGCCAGTTTCCCAGGATCCACAGGCCTGGAGACCAGTCCAGCCTGTCTGAAAGCAAAGGGCAGTCAGTCTCCTGGTGCTGCAGCTATAACCCGGGGTCCTTTTAGTGACACTGGCACAGACCATGGACGACAGGATGGTCGTGGTATTCCAGAGGGGTATTCCACCGCTGGATATCTGTTTATCCAACCAACGTTTACTCAATGTCTATCATGTGTGGACCTGGAGTTGGGCCGGCCCTGAAAGTAACCTGGTCAGAAAGACAGGAAAAGCAGACCAGTAGCTTCAGGAGTGTGTTAGTGCTAGGTAGAGGTCAGAGTGGGGAAACCAGGAGGTGGGGCCAGGGCCAGGTACTCCTGGTGGCCTGCCATCTGCAGGTTCAAATGGTTCAAATTACTGGCTAAATGTCTGCCTTCAGATGCTAAGATATGTCCATCTTCCCAGCATCTAGCTTAATGTCACTTACTGAACATGTACACGAAGGCAGGAATGATGCCCCTGGGCCCGCAGCCCAGGTCCTGAGAAGAGAGGCACTCGGAGAGGAGCGAGGGGAGGGGGGGCCTGGCCTCGAAGCTCCTCTCAGCCCGGAGCACCGGGTGCCCTCTGATCACACCGAGGCCTTGGCGCTGGCATCCAGACACCCTCCGCTTCCTCTCCTCCTGCTGCCTCTGCTCGGCAGCAACAGGCGACTCACAATTGGCTCTCCATCCTCGCAGATCCTCTACTGACCTTTCTGCAGCCAAACTGGCCATTTAAAATGCTTTCTCTCCTTCCAGGGAACCGGCCATCCATCCAACTCATGCTGGAAGGAGTGGGCACAAAGAGAACAGCGGCCAGTGCCAGCAAGCCCCCAGCAGGAGGTCAGGAGTTAGTCTCTGCTGCCTGAAGAGCCACAAGGCCACCACTTCCTGAGCCATAGCTCCACCCACAAGCCTCCGGACACCCACCTCTGATACCTACTCATCCTTCAAGCCCCAATAAGAAAATGCTACCTGACCTGGTCTGTAGGTCCCTTCTACCTTCTAACCGAGAAGTCACAGCACCACATAGCTAGGGCACTGTCCTCTGGGATAGAGGCACCCTTGTGGGTTCCCCACAACCTTAAATCCCTTGAAGGCGGAGGTCAGCCCAGGTGGTCTCAGTCTGGCCTAGAAGCCTCGCATGGTGCGTCTCCATAGCTAAGCATCCAATTAATTACCTGACTCATTCTCTCCCGGAGAAGAGCTGCCTCAAGACCGGCTCAAATCCCAATTCAAATACAGCCTCAGCCCCTGCCTAAGAGATGACATTATTGGTTGTCACCAGCACAGCTCAATGAAGGCTGTGTGTGTGTGCGGGGG